TAAGCAAAGTTCTCAATGAACCGGCCAAAATTCTCTCAGTGGGTGGCCCTGTCTGCTGCCTCCTGAGAGGCCGAAACGGCTGCCATGGACCGGAGAGACTAAAACAACGTTCCCTTCATAAACATGGCTGCTGTGCATGTGACAATCCCACCGATTACCTGTCCATGCCGTGTGAGAAAGATACACCTGTGTGATCAGCCGATGTCTGCCGGGGCCCGGGTTCCGGAAATCTGCCGGTTTCGGGTGGATGATCTGCACCTGCCCGTCAGGGTACACGACCTGGAGGAGGAGGAGGAAAGACGGGGACACATTACAATGAACAATATATATATAATACCCATAATAGACCCCTGTGGTCAGTCTACCAAAAACCCTAGAACCATGCACCCCGTCACTGATTTTTACATTAAAGGAGAACTATGGGGTCAGGGCTTTTCCCCATAGTTCTCCTTTAAGATGCTTTAGGCCAGTGGTTCTCAACCTGTATAACCTCAGGACCCACGTTTGTCCTCACTGTGACCAGAACCGCACTGGAATGCAGAACATTGCGGTACTGCGCATTCCAGTGCAAGTGATCAAACTGTGGGCGGAGGGGGGGGGGCGGGGTGTTTTGGGTGCCATTCAAATGAATGGCAATGCAACGCACCTCCCACTCCAGAACAAATAAACAGTAGGTGCGATTGCGTTGTAGTTTGTGATTAAAACACTAACAGCCAGAATGTGATGTCACTCCTGTCACGTGGAGTGGATCCTCAGCCTGGGGTCCAGTGCGGGCTGCGGTGCTGTGACGGCGCTCCATCCATATGTGCATTGCTTGCACAGCTCCCTTGTGGGCCCTGCAGAAGTGCTAGGAGCCAGAATGTGACAGCACTCCAGTCCCGGCACCTCTACAGGGCATGTGAGGGAGCTGTAAGCAATGCACTTATAGATGGAGCTCCCTCGCGGCCATACCCCCATCCAACCTCAAGCTGACACTGAGCACCGGGCAGCATATTCTGAATGGCTGCTCAGTGCGAGAACTGACAGTGCTGTGCTTTGGGAGAAGCTGAGGAGCCTCTCACCTGGTGCACTGAAAGGCACGCGGGGAGCCACTGAACACGGGGTCGCGACCCACTTTTGGATCACGACCCACCAGTTGAGAACCATGGCTTTAAAACACCTTCTACTCACACTGCAGTGGTCTATGCTTGCAGAGCTGAGTATCAGCCACACCCCAGAGCACAAGTGTCCTCACACAGACTTGCACTGCAGATGAAGAGAAGGGGGATGTCAGAACAGGTCTGTGTGGTCCACGCAGCAGTCAGTGCACACCTCTCCTCACCTCTGCTCCAGCTATGTCCCTCTGCGTCCTCACGCCTAATGCAAGTCAATGGACCTGCGTCCCGGCTCTTGCAGCAGTCAGTGCACACCTCTCCTCACCTCCGCTCCAGCTATGTCCCTCTGCGTCCTCACGCCTAATGCAAGTCAATGGACCTGCGTCCCGGCTCTTGCAGCAGTCAGTGCACACCTCTCCTCACCTCCGCTCCAGCTATGTCCCTCTGCGTCCTCACGCCTAATGCAAGTCAATGGACCTGCGTCCCGGCTCTTGCAGCAGTCAGTGCACACCTCTCCTCACCTCCGCTCCAGCTATGTCCCTCTGCGTCCTCACGCTTAATGTAAATCAATGGACCTGCGTCCCAGCTCTTGCAGCACTCAGTGCACACCTCTCCTCACCTCCAGCTATGGAATATCCCCCTGTGTCCTCACATTTAATGCAAATCAATGGACCTGCATAAGAAGTGATGATATCAGCGGTCCTTAGACTGCCGGAGCCCAGGGGAGAAGAGGCTGCAGGGACCGGTCTAGCAGCCTGGCCTGAGGATCAGGTAAGTAAATCTGCTTCGAGTCCCCTAGACAACACGAGCACCTAACCCTTGCAGTACGGGGGTGGTAGCCCCACAAATCAGTGCACATTGTTTGCTTGCCTGGAGTTCCTTTCCTTTAACGCCTTCGTGACTGACGACGTACAGTGTACGTCGCCAGCATCGGGGCTGTTTAAACAGACACATACAAACAATTTGCCTTCCTGGTATAACAAGCTGTCCAGCGCCCTCCTCTAGTCCTAGATCTGCCCGTACCTGGACTTTCACAGTGCTCTGCGGGTCCTGAACGTGCTCCAACGTGGCATCAACATCCAGAGCTACAACCAGCCCGGAGGTGAACCGGATCGGGTTATCGGACTCGGCAGCCGGCTCAATGATGTGCGATGAGGCTCTGTGGATCTGGAGGGTAAATGATCACATGACATCACACAGTGTACACAACTCTAAAACCACAGACAGCCCACAGCCAAACGCCGGCCCTCCAGCTGTGGTGAAACTACAAATCCCATGATGCATCTCTCTCAAGGAGTCATGTCTGCGGCTGGGAGAATCTTGCAATGCCTCATGGGATTTGTAGTTCCACCACAGCTGGAGGGCCGGAGTTTGGCTACCCCTGTCCCACAGGAGGTAGTTGGCGTTCTGGACCCCGTTTAGGATTGAGGAGCCTAAAAAGGTCAAAGCCGAACTTCAAATACACACATAAAATACATGGGAGCCGCTTTTCCTGCCAAAGCATTTTTATTTCTGTCCACTCAGTCCTGAGATTTACACAGCTCTGCCACAGAACAGCCAGGGGGATGACACCTTCATCATTGAAGGAAGAGAGTGGTCCCCTCTACCCACCCCCAGCTTGCTGACTGGACAGAGAGCAAGGGCAGCAGTATAACTGATGAGGTCATCCCTCCTATCATGTCCCTTGTCCACACATTGGCATGCAGCTCACACGATTGGCTCCCAGTGCTCTTGTACCGGGTATTGCCGGATACCGAATCAGCTTCAGTTCTTTTATTTAAAAGCTGAAGTTTCTTCTGCTTATATTTTGCCTTCGTTGGTTCTGACTGTCCCCCTCATCATGGCTTCATTTCATACCTTATTATAGTCCAGTGACATCATCACGGGGTCTCTGTGCTTCCTTATTTTTATTTTTTTTTGCATCTCAACAAACTTCCCTCTGTGAACAAAAAAAGTGAACTGTGAAATCACAGCACACAAAAACGTGCACAAGGGTGCAAGGTCCTTCCGAAGAAGGGACCTACTTTCCCGACCCCCCGGGGCGCTAGGCTCCTGGCAGGGGTTGAGATACTATGGTCCACCAACCCGAAGGCCGGTGGACCTTTCCTCTGGGGACCTGCCGAAACAGGTCCCCCATAGTACTTGGCAAGTGGGCTCTCCCGAAGAGAGACCCACTTCCTGGGTGGGAGGAGACAGAGAACCCCGTAGAGGGCACAGAACCTCCTCCCTACATCAGGAATAGGCCCCGAAGGAACCTGCACCTTCCGCAATCTGTGGGTTTCAATCAAAAAGTCAATCGTGCATCGTGCATAGAGTGCAATAAATAATACTAAAGTGTCAGTGCACCACGCTGACAGGCCTTAGGGGCCGGAGTGCAAAAATATTGCCCCAGACTAGCCATAAGGCCTGTCCAAGAGGCGATGTGCAGAAAATGCAAGGTGGTGTGTGACCGAGTGATTAGTGAGTCAATGTGGGGTCCCACACCCAAGTGACTCCATGCGCACCCCTGGGACGCCACCCCCAGGGGGCACAACACCACGAGCTTCTGGCGCGCCCGAACCCTCGAGCCAGACCAAGCTTCGCATCTGTTCAGTCAGAAAGCCATGTACTGAGCGGTTCCCCTCTCACAGGAAGCCGCCCCACACGCTCTTTCACTCCAGCGATTACTAAGTAACCATCCCCCGCAAGGACGGTTCTTTTCCCCACCGAAAACTGATAAGAACAGATACTACACTTGATCTTAGCCAAAAGGCCGAGAAGCCTCTGTGCTTCCTTATGTCTCTGTGCTTCCTTATTTTTTTTTTTTTTTGAAGCCCGTGGACGTGCATCAATACAAACTTCCCCCTGTGAACAAAAAAAGTGAACCGTGAAATCACAGCACACAAAAACGTGCACAAGGGTGCAAGGTCCTTCCGAAGAAGGGACCCATACCTTAGGCTTCCTTATGCAATGCACACAGATCATGGCTGGTGGGAGGGGCCGGCAGGGTGCTGTACACATCACAACACAGCACCCTACCTCAGTACTCCTCTCACACGCCCCGGTGCAAGCAGTGGGCTGACTCTTGGGAGGAGTTATGCATTTCCATCAAAGTGACACCACTGAGTCTCTGTGCTTCTCTCTACAATGCAGGCAGATCATAGCTGGTGGGAGGGGCTTTCGGAATACATCACAGCACCCTGCCGTCCTCTCCCATCAGCTATGATCTGCCTGCATTGTATAGAGAAGCACAGAGACTCACTGATGATGTCACTATGATGGTATTTGCATAACTCCTCCCAAGAGCCAGCCCACTGCTTGCATCTGGGCTTGTGAGAGGAGTACTGAGGCATATACTATCATAGTGACATCATCACTGAGTCTCTGTACTTCTGCAATGCATGATCATAGCTGGTGGGAGGGGTCAGCAGGGGGCTGTGATGTATTCAGGAAGCTATGAACAGCACCCTGCCGGCCCCTCCCACCAGCTATGATCTGCCTGCATTGCATAGAAAAGCACAGTGATGTCACTATGATGGCATATGTCTCAGTACTCCTCTCACAAGCCAGATGCAAGCAGTGGGCCGGCTCCTGGGAGGAGTTATGTGTTTGCCATCATAGTGACATCATCACTGAGTCTCTGTGCTTCTTTATGCAATGCAGGCAGATCGTAGCTGGTGGGAGGGGCCAACAGGGTGCTGTACATGGCTTCCTGAATACATCACAACACTCTACTGACCGCTCCCACCAGCTATAATTTGCCTGCATTACATAAGGAAGTACAGAGACCCAGTGATGACGTCACTATGATGGCATATGCCTCAGTATGCCTCTCAAGAGCCCTCAGCCCTGATGCAAGCAGGGGGCTGGCTCTTGGGAGGAGTTATGCAAATAACAAAATGCCTTGATGGGTGGGTGTCAGTCTGGAGGAGGGGGTGTTTTTACATGCAGAGCACCCCACGTAATGCTGGGCCTCCATGACTGCAATCCAATAAATCAAAGAGGCGGGCCAGGGACAGTCAGGCTGCGGAGGAAAGATCTAAATGAGACTGGACGTCAGATATCTAACAGAGCTTGCTTTAGTAAAGGAGTAGAATATGTTCACTAGGAAAGTGAATATGAATGAATGAGGTGAAGCTGCATTTACTTTAACTATCCAATCACGTGTGAGAATCCTATTCCAGTACACAATCGGGTATTGAACGTGAACGCAGCTTTACCTTCTCCACCAACATTCACTATGCTAAGTGAGCGGCCTCTACTCCTTTCAGTAAATCAACCCCAATGCTCATACGAATGGCTTCGCTCCTTCTCCCAGAAACGCTGCGACCGGTCACGTGACTTTACTGCAGTCAGGCAGCACGCTATGGCAGCCTGTTCCAGCAGGGGGCGCTCCTCTACATCAGAAACATCAGGCGTGCGATGGTTACCTGCTCTGGAAGCGTCAGGCGCAGGAAGCTGCTTTGCCGTAGAGTCGTCTGCAGGATTTTCACCATCTCCAGAGGCTTGGAATTAACCAGACGTGGCATCAGATCGAGCAGCTTGTCCACAAAGCTG